AATGTTTTGACAAGCGAGGGTGGGTGCCCGATGCAGATTAATCTTCCATGAGAAGCCTCTAGATAGGCTACACCAGAGGGTTGTTTGCTACAGACGCGAGCATCTCACGACCTCCAAACAAACAACAGCAGCAACATCTGCACACACACACACACACACACACACACACACACACACACACACACACACACACACACACACACACACACACACACACACACACACACACACAAACACACACAGGGCGGACCGGGTGCGTGCGAAAGAGCTGCGTCGGCAGGCCAAGCACCAACACCACCACTTTTATGTTGACGGCAACAACAACGACAACCGCGTCCTCGACCTCTCCTCCTCCTCCTCCTCGTCAGAAGGGGGTGGACAGGCGCCATCGCCTGATGCTGGGCGCGGCAGCGGTGGTCGAAGCAAGCGCAGTGGCAAGCGGGACAAACACGTGCACTTCCACTACAAGCCAGACTCCGAGGCAGAGCAAGGGCGCCGTGGTGGTCGCCGTGCTGGTGGTCGTGGGCGAGATAAGGGTGCAGGCCAAGGAAGATACGGTGACACGCGCTATGCACGCGGCATGCATGGTGACGTGTTTGACGAGAACGCCTATGACGATGACGGCGATGGCTTTGGAAACGACAACACCGCTGATCAGGGCCGTACGACCGATTACGAGAGGCGATTTCAGCGCGCGCCTTACAACGAAGCACGCGGCAAGTACGGAGCGTCGTCGGCTTCGACTCATCCCACCGCAGCACGTGCTGGTAGCGGTGGCGGTCGCGCTGGTCGTGGTGATGATGCTGGCCGGACAATGATGGAGCAGGTTGACGACTTTGAGGACGCAAACAGGTGCGCACACGCATGTGTGTGTGTGTGCATGTGATGGGTTTACCTTGCGTCACTGCGGCTGCTTCCATTGCTCTATTTTGCTGTTTCGCTTTCATGTTTTGCGTTTGTGTGTTCCGTGTTGGTCACAGACACAACCTGCTAATCTTGGCGCTAACCCGCCCAATCCATTCAATCCCTCGACGTGCCAACCACACCAGAGCACTGCGCCGCCTGTTGTCGCCGTCAACAGCACCGCGTGACCCCGTGGTTGCGCGCGAACGTGATATCATCTTCAAGAAGCTTGATTTGATGGAGCGCGCCAACAAGCGCCTTCAAGAGAAGGTGCGGCGTGTTGGCAGTGCACCTGGTGTGCACACGTGTCTGTGTATGTCTGTTGGTGTGAAAAGTGTGGTGTATTTGCGTGTTTGGGTGCATGTGAAAGTGTGCTTGTGGCTGCGAACGTGAGAGTTGTGCGCGCGTGCGTGTGTGTGCGAGAGCAAGCAAGGTTGTGCCAAGTGCGTTATGTTGTGGTGTCGTTTGTATTTGTATCACGTAGAGCTCACGCCACCCCGCACATGAATGTCAACACGCATGCACACACTTCAATCAAACCTTCATTGCTTTAGCTGCAGCGACGGGAAGCTGAGAAGGCCGCGCTGGAAAACCAAGTCGAGCACACGTCCGAGCTGCAACGCGCATTTGAGGACATCAAGACGTCGCTCAGGGTCAGTCTTTGCACACGTTGCATGAGAATGTGCGTGCATGTATCTGTGAGTTCGTGCATGTGTGTGGGTGTGTACGTGCTGCATGTGACACACACACACACATACAAAGCACGCACACATGCACACATGCACACACACACATAACACAACACACACATACACATACACACATGCACACACGCGTTCAAACATGAGATGCCCACCATAACGTTGCTTAACGCGTGCTTTCTTCATTTCATGCGACAGGAATCCAAAGCAAAGGCCGACAAGAAGCTGAAGGAGAAATCGCGCGAATGTCTGCGGCTTGAAGAGGAACTGGCGCGCGTGCGTGCAACGCAGTCCTATTCCTCCAATGCGGTAAATTCAACGACGCACACGCGTGGGTGTTGCGCGCGTGCGTGCGCGTGTTGTGACTGCTACTGCTGCTGCTGGGTGTGTGTTCTGAGGCTCCGCAAGCATCAACCCGTGCGTGTATTCGCACATACAACCACACAACTACAAAGCGTGGATTGACGCGTGACCGTGCTTGCGTGCAACTGTTTGCGGTTTAGATGCGGGATTTCCAGCAAGCGGTGAGCGACTTGGAAGCACGCGCGGCGGGCGAAAAGGCCGCGATGAAGCGTGCACACAAGGAGACGAAAAAACGGTACGTTGAATGTTTGGCACTGGTCACGGTGACCGAAACAATATCAGTGATTGTTGTTGTTAATCTGTCATCACCCTCAACACACACCCACAGAGAGAGAGAGAGAGAGAGAGAGAGAGAGAGAGAGAGAGAGAGAGAGAGAGAGAGAGAGAGAGAGATTCACTCTCTCACGCACTTACTTTGTTTGTGCGCAGGCTGCGGCAGTGTGAGTCTGTCCTGCAGCAAGTTCGGCAGGACTTGGACGTTGCACAGAACAACTTTGAGCTGGTAAGCAAGGCTGTGTTGACTCAGGAAAGGAGATAACACCCTGTGTGTGTGTGTGTGTATGTTCGCGCGCGAGGGTTATCCTCACACACATGGTTTTGTTGGTTCGCCACGATGACATATGTTGATGTCGTGTGCTGACACTGCAATCTCCCTCACCCATGACATGCCCACCATGCACACACGCGCGCGTGCACGCACACATATGGTCGTGTAGGCGGTGCGTGATCGTGACGCAGAAGCGCAGAGGCGACAGCAGCTGGAGGAGAAGCTGGATGAGGGCGAGCGCGAACGCGACTCGCTGACACAGCAGCTTCATGCACGCGTAAGTGTTGCTCAACCTGATCATCCATTGCTGTTCGCAACACCACAACATACAAGGGCGCGACTCATTCAGAAACACACAAGTGTAATCACAAACACAAGCACAAACACAACTGCAATGTAACCACGCGCGACAGTCACACTCTCACACATACACGCAAGCCATAACCACAACTAAAAGTCGCGCGTGCAAAATTGCTTGCTCACACACACACACACACGCACTCCCTCACACTCCCACACACACACTCCCACACACACACACACACACACACTCCCACACACACACACACACACTCCCACACACACACACACACACACACACACACACACACACACACACTCACACACTCACACACTCACACACTCACACATTCTCTGTGCACATGTCAGGGTGCGGACCTGAGCGCGTTGGAGGATCGCTTGAACACAACAACAGCGGCAACAGAGGAGACAGTGGCCGATCTGAACCACAAACTCGACGCTGCACGCACGCAGATTGCGACACTCAAGAGCAAACTTGCAACTGCAGAAGAGCTGGCAGAGACGCGACGAAAGTGAGTGCATCGTGTTCACAAACAGTGATAATTGGTTGCGAGGTGTTGGACTGGCATGAGCTTCACGCAGAGCAGAGCAACGAGGTGCACGTTTGCCTTCTTGCGAAAGTCATGGTACAACTCGACATTGCATGCCTGTTACTCATTCTTGTATGGTGCGTCGTGTGCAGCATGCTGTCAGAGCAAGGCGACATCAAGGACTCAGCACTCAGGCGCGCAAACGAAATGATCGATAACATCAGAGATCAGGTGATTGAAAGCAGGCATGAAAGTACAAGCGATTGTGTTGTCATGTGTGTCTGTGAAGGTGCTGTTGCTTTGAGCTTGGGTTGCCTGCATTGTTCATCCTTGTCTGCTGATGCATTGTGTTTGTATCCCCACTCTCTGACCCATGCACTCACAAACACACGCACTCACGCACGCATTCATGCACACTTCCCTTCCTCCCTCTTCCTACACGGCCTGGCCAGCTGGCCGCAACGCAAGAAAGCGAGCAGAAAACAAAGGAAGAATTGCGTGACACCACGCATCAGCGCGACGCCCTGGTGCGTGCCCTGCACCTGTCGCCTGGTGTCGTTGTGTTGTTCGAATTCATCTCGGCTGATGTTTGCCATGAGACGCTACGAATGATTTTCACTCCGCCTTGCCACCGAAGCATCTGACCGCCTGCACTGCCAACTCTTCACCCTCCACTAGCCACATATGTATCGTCCGCCCTCACCCCCAAATTACTCCCTGCCATTGTCCATCTTCTCTTCAGCGCCGGGATCTCGAAACGACCCAGCAGCGCATCGAATCTTTGCAGGAGACGTCAGAGAATCAGCGAAAGCAAATCTCCTCTCTCGAGGGCACAACACAGCGCCTGGAACTGCAGGTATGAGCGTACACACCACACACGACACACACACACACGCACGCACGTACATTCATATGTGTTTGCCCTTGGCTCGTGCCACTGTGAACCATCACTGCCTTGCCCAACCAACACTGTTATCGCTTTCGTTGATCAACTTGATGTCCTGGCGTTGTCGTTATGCAATGTTGTGGTGCACCAGGTTGAGTCGCTGGAGAGAGACGTGAGCGAAGCACGTGAGCGGGCGACATCGCTTGAGCGCGATCTCAACACCGCCCGCAGCGAACACCTCAGGACAACAGGACAACAGACCGAGGAGGTGTGCTGTCGTTTTTGCATGTCTTGTGTATGGAGAAATTGGCATGTTGTGAATGTGTGTGTGTGTGTGTGTCGGTGCGTGAATGTGTGGAAACAGTGTGTGCGACGCGTTGTTGTGTTTGTATGCATGTCCACAACAAGACAGGTGTGCCAGTACAATATTGCCCTTGCGCTTGGCATTCACCCCATTATTCGCTGTTTCTGCAACTTAAATTGCATCAGGCACGACAGCAACAGCAGCGCTTGAATGAGCGCATTGCTGCCCTCGAGGCCGAGCTTAAGGCCACGAAGGACGGTGCGTTGTGGGGAAGAGAGTTGTGTGTGTGTGTGTGTGTGTGTGTGTGTGTGTGTGTGTGTGTGTGTGTGTGTGTGTGTGTGTGTGTCTGAGTGCGTGCATCATGACAGCAAGAAAGGAGCTTCTCTCTGGCGGTGTATCTTGTCTGTCACACTAACGTTTGTACCTTGCACCTCTTTCGACCATTGCATCTGTGTGCGTGTATGTGTGTGTATATGTGTATGTATATGTATATTTACGCTCAGCGCTCCAAGCGACTGAACAGGCCAAGTTGGATGCGCAGCGCAAGGCTGCTGCCGAGTCTCTTGCGCTGCGCGAAAAGCTCGACTACGCCAACACAGAGAAGCGAACGTAAGCCACGCGTGCGTTTTGGGGGAGGAGGAAGGGGACAGGGGCGCTTGCATGAATTGTTTTTTATTTTATTTTATTTTGCTGGCTCGTGATGCTGGTGGCGCCTGTGTCATTCACTTGCTCACGCCCACTCCCCCCGTCATAATGAATTCGCTTTGTGACGTGACAGGCTGAAGAACTATGTTGCATATGTCAAGTCGACGTTCAACTCTGTGTTCAAGGATGCTGAGGGGGAGCCTGGCGAATGCGATTGACTGTGAAATGAAATGAGTGGTTCACGTCACTCTGATGTTGCAATGCATCAGCAATGTCTAACCACTGTCGTTTCACGAACACAACTATGCCCGCATGCACTCTTTGTGCACTCTGTGTTTTGTTTTACAATGTTTGTGCTCAAACTATCTGCCCCTTCTTCTGAACAGCATCCACCATCTGCCATTGTCTGTGTGTCCTCGCTGCTGTACATAGACACACGATTTTCTGTCATCACATTCGTGTTCCCCGCTGCTTTCATTTCCCTCGACACCTGGCTTTTTTTTTTTTTTGCTTTGTTCTGCTGAGTACAAACTGCTTTATTGCACACACACGCACACAAACGATCTGGCAGTACAAGCGAGCGCCTAAGCACAACAACAACAACAACAACAACAACAACAACAACAACAACAACAACAACAACAACAACAACAACAACAACAACAACAACAACAACAACAACAACAACACTTGCGTTACACGTACTTCTTCGCAACAATGTCTTTCACGATATGTGCAGACTCCCGGTTGATTTCAGCTGCAGATGTGAGCGCCCACACACACACACACACACGCACACACGCACACACACACACACACACACACACACACACACACACACACACACACACACACGCATATGCACATGCACGCGCACAATTTACATGTGAGTGCACGATTCGAGGCACACAACGCAGTGTAACTAACCCAAGCAATGCGAACCAAATCACCTCATTTGTTTGCTTGTAAGCAATACGGCACGACCTACCGAGCCTGCCCATGTAGTCGTTGAAGCCGAGCATGTACAACCGCTTCTGATGTGGAACCTCCTGCACACGAGACAGTGCCCGTCGCAGGTGTGAATGAGCATTGGTGGCGTTCTGCCAGGGAATGATCTGTGCTTGCACATGCGTGTCTGTATGTGCACGATGTGCAGTGCAAACCTGAAGCCGTTGGCACACGCACGCGCACACACACACACACACACACACACACACACACACACACACGCACGCACACACACACACACGCACATGTCACAGCACCTGGCCACTGGAGACGACGTTGTGTTCGTTTGGCAGCTGCGCCACGACATCTGACGGAAGGAACCTGGAATACGGGCCCGTGTTGTGCTTGAAACCGGTTGCCAGCAGGATGTGGTCAAATGTCCCTGTGCTGCCGTCCGCGAAGTGCACCTGTCGCGAGGTTGCAGCAGATGTGAGAGGAGGCTGCGCGCGTGTGTGCATTGTGCATTGGCATTGTGTGTGTGTGTGTGTGTGTGTGTGTGTGTGTGTGTGTGTGTGTGTGTGTGTGTGTTTGCTTCACATGTGCACACATCAAGGACTCAAATAACAAGCACCTACAACACTGCAAAACAGGCACATGGTCACAAACGCGGCAAGACCGCACCGTGTTTCCGTCAATGTGGTCAATCTCGTGTTTGATGACAGCAATTTCGCCCTTCTTGATCAGCGCCATCGTACCAATGTCTTGCACAGGCGCCCTGCACGAACACACGGTGTGAATGGAGTGGCATGGCAGGGAGGTGTGTGAAACTGTGTGAAACTGTGTGAAACTGTGGAGATGAGCTTGACCCGTTGAGTGCACGTGCTGGCATGTTCAACAGCGCGTCAACACCGCACCAAGCGAAGCAGTCAACACGATGCAGGCGCGGTGGGCACGCACTTGTGGTGAACGACAATGTCGGTCACGAAACCGGTCTTCTTCAGGGAGATGTTGTACTGCATTCGTTGTGTTGGGTAAACAAGAGAAAGAGCGCGCCACAAACACATGAGCCAAGCTGCCCGCATCATCATAAACACACACACACACACACACACACACACACACACACACACACACACACACACACACACACACGCACACACACACGCACACACACAACACACAACACACAACATACAACACATACCGGCGTGAGGTCGCCCCAGACGAGGCTGTAGATGAGGTCGCGGCCGCTGTCGTGCACCCACGGTGGCAGCGGACGCATCACGTCGTACATGTGTCCAAACACGCGCGTCAACGAGCGCGGCAGCATGTGGATGGGTGACCGCACCAGCACCTGTGTGAGGTGTGTGTGTGTGTGTGTGTGTGTGTGTGTGTGTGTGTGTGTGTGTGTGTGTGTGTGTGAATGAATGCGCATGTGCGTGAGTCAACGTTCCTGACAGCTGTCCTGCATCCACTCCACCACCTCTTCACTGCATCAATAACACCACCAGCACCTCATCTGTCCTCCACACCCCTCTCGCCTTCAGCACTTCAACGCCAATCTCACCGTCGGCTGTGCGCCCCATTCCCAGAGATCAAGTGCCATCTCAGATCCGGAGTTGCCAAATCCAACAACCAGCACACGCTTGCCCTCAAACTCTTTGCCGCTCGTGTACTCCTGGGTCGCGGTGGTGGCGGTAGTCGTGGTGGTGGTGGTGGTGGTTGTGGTTGTGGTCAGGGAACAAGTGAGAGGATGTGGGATAATACCGACTTCAACCGAAACGTGCACGCACATGTGAACACATGGACGCATTCACTCCGGCACTTTGTACATGCACGCATGCACATCAACCATGCCGTTGGTCACAGCAGCGGACCTGCGAGTGGAGGAGGCGACCAGGAAATGAGGCCTCGCCCTTGAAGTGCGGCACATTCGGCTGAGACTCCTGGCCAGTGCACACCGCCAGCACGTTGGATGTGTATGTGCGCACGCTGCCATCTGCCGCCTTCGTTTCGACCGTCCATGTTTCTTTGGACTCGTCAAACGTCGTCGTCGTCACCTGCGAGGAGTTGGGGCGGGCGTGCCCTGTGAGATGCAGTCGACACAACATCGCACAAATACACATGGACACACACACGCACCCACGCACATGTATGTATGTGCGCATTCCGACACCTGCAGGCGCGCAGACAGCATCTCTCACCTCTGTGTGTGTCTTGACGTTGTGGAAAGCAGCGTAGGCGCGGTAATACTTTGCAAGAAAGCTGCGCGACACGAAAGTTGGGGTCCAGTCCGGAAACCGCTGTGATTGGGGCGCCGCACGTGAGCTGGCGCAATGGCAAGGGTACAGTGGGGGAAGGCAGTAGAGCATGGTGGCAGCGGTAGACAACAAGACAGCACGCAGATGCAACCGAAAAAAAAAACACATGCCGCACATGAGACAGCACACGCGCATGCACGCAGGCACACACCCAGTATGGAAGTTCGGAGATGCCGCGGACGGTGTGGAGGTGGAGGCGATCGTAGCGGTTCTCCCACGCAGAGCCAGGCTCGTCCTTCTCAAACACTACATAGGAGATCTAATAGCCACACTCACACATGCACGCGTGAGTGAACATGCACAGCTGCTGATATAACACAAGCGCGTGCAGTACATGCACATTGCTCAAACCATCCAGCACAATATTTCGACAGGAAAACCACCAACACTCACGCCAGCGCGCTCCAAACGTCCAGCCAGAGAAAGCCCTGCAGATGAACAGTGGTGCGTAGTGATGGAAGGTGTGTGTCGGTTAGGGCGGGCAAATACATGAACAGGGCAGAGAGGGAGAGTGAGTAAGTCAGTGAGTAAGCGGCAGGCGCGCAACACAGCACACCACACAACACCACACAACACAGCACCACACGCGCGTGCCAAGCATACCTGCTGCGCCAGCTCCAACAATAATCACGCTGTAGGTGGAGGGATCATCACTGCCATCTTCATCTCGGCTCCGTCGGATTGGAACATCTGGTTGGCCTGCATGCACGTCACACGCACGTTGCAAGAGCACACGAATGTGAGCTGACGCGAGATCGTGCGTGCTGGGTGGCATGGACTGGCGTCGCTCACCGAACACGACGAGAGCACACTCTCCTCCCACCCCCGGTCCTTTCTACCTCCCTCTGCTCCTCCCTCTCTGCCCCTCCCTCTTGCCCCTCCCTCGCCCTCCCCCCTCCTCTTTCCAAGCCTCACCGATTTGTGGGGAGAGGATGTAGACTGCCTTCTGCAGCAGGACGACGGCCAGTGCGCCGAGCAGGAAGGAGCGAGCGTGCTCCCACATCATCACCATCTTCAACGCCGTCTGCGTTGATTCCCCTTTTTTCGTGTGTCGCTGTCGCCAACCCCAGCAGCAAACAAACAACACAGCACAAAAAAATGCACTGTGAAGTAGTAGCCGAAAAACACGTGAAGACACCAATCATTTATCCACCGGTTGTTTGTTTTCCCTCCTCTCCTTCTTGTTGCTTGTGGAACAGCGCCATGCTTGTTGTTGGAGGAAAGAAGGTGGCTGTGGTCCTGGCTGTCATCGTGGCCGCCGCTGCTGCTGCGGTGACGGTGATGGCTGCGGCTGCTGCTGATCCGTCCTGCTGCAAGTACTGCAGCGATGGCTCAAAGGCGTGTGGGGACTCGTGCATTTCGGACTCAAACACGTGCCATCAGCCCCCAGGCTGCGCCTGCAATGGTATGTCAGAAGAGAACAGACCACACACAACCACACACACAACCACACACAACCACACACACAAACAAAACACAGATTGCTTGCTTGTTGTAGGACTGTTCTCCGCAAGTCACGGTGTTGCCGTGCACTGCTCGCCGCTTCAACGCCACACTGAAGCATCTAACCCTTGTCTCTTGTATTATTTTTTTTTCAATGATCCGCGTGCAGGCACTGCACCACCGTCTCCGCCCTCTGATCCGTCGTATGACCACCAGACCAAGACGTACCACGCCCAGTTCAAGCCGCTGGAGCTGTCGTCTGCGGATCTCACCATCACCCCGTTCTTCAGCCCAGATCACTCGGTGGACACCATCGTGGACTTTATCAGCAAGGCCAGCAAGACGCTCGACATCATCACGCCAAGCTTCTCCAGCTGGAGCCACTGCTCGAGCGTACGTTTGATTTTTCCTGGGTGTGGCGCAAGGCCTTAGTTCTTGGTGCTTGAGCAAAGTCACATGCTTCCCTGTGTGTGTGTGTGTGTGTGTGTGTTTGCTGCGTTGCTGTTGTGCAATGCTCATCGCCTTGCCGTCATCTTGCTGTTGTCTTGCTGTTGTCTTGCTGTTGTCTTGTGCAGGGATCGCCCTGTGTTGGCTGCAAGGTGTCCACCTGCAGCGGTGAGAAGTTCCCCGTCTTCCAGGCCATCCTCAACGCCGCGCACAGGTGGGCGCGAGATGTGTGTGTGTGTGTGTGTGTGTGTGTGTGTGTGTGTGTGTGTGTGTGTGTGTGTGTGTGTGTGTTGGGGGTGGTTGTCTCTCTTGGTGTCCGTGTGTCCGTCTGTCTGTGTCTGTCTTGTTTCATGCTGCACGAACGTGGGCTGCCTTTCTTGAGCCTTCCACCCCTTGCTTGCTCCCCATACTCGCCCTTCATGCTTGCTTGCTCCCTTTTGCCATGGCTGATTTCCTCCTGCGTTGTCTCGTCAGGGGCGTGTCCATCCGCATCATCACCAACGACTTTGGTGATGTGACGTGCGAGGGCAAGATTGCGCCCTTTGACTTCCTCTCGCTCAACGGCGTGAAGGTTGGCATGTACACGTCGACGACCTTCACCCACTCCAAGTTCATGATGCGGGACAGCAACGCGGCGTCCATCTCCTCCGTCAACTGGAGCCGCAGCTCCTACATGAAGAACCGCGAGGCCGGCGCAAACATCGAAGGTACTGGTAAGCACGCCCCGTGCTAGGATTTGTTTTTGTGGTTGTGTGTGTGTGTACTTGTGTGTGCTTGTGTGTATGTGTGTGTGTACTTGAGTTTATCTAGTTAGCTCTCCTGCTGCCCCTCTTTTGCCCTCAAACGAACCAACAATAACAACCCCCTCCTCCATGCCCGTCAACCCGCCTGTTCCCTCACCTCACCTCACCTCACCCCACCCCACCTCACCTCACCTCACCTCACCTCACGTTTAACCACCATCCATCCACCACCCTGCCCGCCTCCCTCCTCAACACCAGGCAAGGACATGGCGCTTGTGATTGATTTCCTGACGGCGGTGTATGAGCGGGACTGGGAAGCGACGCGCCCGTACAACGTGACCAACTCGTACTCGGCCTCGGATATGGCCATCATCACCAACCCGGCGCACCGCGACTTTGACATCCCCTCTGGCCCAGACCGCCCCTACGTCTCCCCAAAGCCAAAGCCCATCCCCATCAATGCCCCATTCAAGGTCTGTGCGTACGTGTGCCTCTGTGTGTATGTGTGTGTTGTGTTGTGTTGTGTTGTGTTGTGTTGTGTTGTGGTGTGGTGTGTGTGTGTGTGTGTGTGTGTGTGTGTGTGTGTGTGTGTGTGTGTGTGTGTGTGTGTGGCTACTTGCTGGCTGCTTGAATTGACAACTGCTCCCAGTTTTGGCCTCGTACCCCAGTGCTCACTCCCTTGCCCCAATCCCCAACACCCCGCCCCCTCTTCTGCCCGCTGCAGCTGTGGACGTCCCCCGACTTCTCGTACAAGGCGCTCATGTCTGATCTCCAAGCCGTCAAGCACTCCTTCAAGCTCTACATCTACCAGGTGTGCTTTGTGTTCTTTGTGTGTCTGTGGCTGTCTCTCTGCAACTGTGACTCTGTGTTGTGGAACTGGCGTGTCAGTTGTATGTACACTGTTCTACTGCTACTCGACTGACTCCTTCTCTCACCACCACCACCACCCCTGATCATCCCCCCCCCCCCAAATTGCCGCAGGTGACGGACGACCGGCTGTGCGACTGGCTGCTGGATGCGCACAAGCGCGGCGTCAACATCACCATGCTCGTCTCCAGCGAGATTTACGGCAGCGGCGACCAGCAGAAGGCCAGCGAGTGCTTTGAGAAGCTCCAGGCAAAGGGGCTCGTCATCCACCGCGCCTGGCAGTTTGGCTTCTACATGTACAACCACGTGCGTAGCAAATAAGGGGGGGGGGGAGGGGAATGTGTGTGTGTGTGTGTGATGTGTATGTGTGTGTATTCGTATGTGCGTGTGTGATGTGTTTGTGCGTGTGTGTATTCGTATGTGTTTGTGCGTTGAGTGTGTCATGTGCACACGCATGGTTCCGCCTCTGTGTGATGCCACCCTCCGTCACGCGTCAGAACAGCACCGTCATCGCTCGCTCCCTCACGCCCTCCCTCCTCGTCTCCTTCATTCAACCACCACCAACCCATTACTACCACCAACCAACCGCCTGTGCAGCAAAAGTTCTGGATTGCGGACGGCACGCGCGTGTCGTTTTCGACGGGCAACTGGAGCCCCTCGGACTTCCCTGGCGGCGACGGCGCGTACCCGCCGTACGGCGAGCCCGGCTGGCAGAGCGTCAACCGCGACTTCAACGTGCGCATCGACGACCCGGCCGTGGCCAAGGTCTTTGACGATGTCATCATGGGCGACTGGAGCAACTCCACCACGTGGCACCCGCCCCACCACCACGCCGGCGCCGTGTCCATGACCAACCTCTTTGACACCATTGAGCAGCTGCCGTGAGGTCGCTCCCTCGTCTTGCGGCGGTTTGTGTCGCTGGCGGTGGTGTGGTGTGTCTTCTCTACCACCGAACCGTCTCAAGTAGTTGTATGTGATGGTGGATCACGTTTGTTGCGGGCTTATCGGCGGACTTGCAACGCCTTTCCTGCGCGTTTTGTATGGTAGCTTGCTGTGCGGTGTGGAGCATGCGTGTGCTGTGTGTGTGTGTGTGTGTGTGTGTGTGTGTGTGTGTGTGTGTGTGTGTGTTCGT